TAAGCCAGCATAGGATATGTAGGTTGTCGTTATTAAAACCACTATAAAATAAAACATTTATTGAAAGCTTTCATATAAGAATTGAAGTCCTAGAGTTCTTTTAGGAATATTTAGATATTTAGATATGTGTAATGTAAAAAGGAATCCTGATCGTCTAAAAATGAAATTTCACGGCGAGAGTTAGTAATGGATATGCTCTTGACCAAACGAAAACACTTCTCGGTCTGATGCTGTCTTTAGAAAATGTTTTAATATGGTAGTTTGCTAATAAGTGGCCACTTTCTTATTGTTTCCAAAGTAAATTTAACTAAATACGCAAATTTGTAAATATTTTCGTACAAAACCCATGCTGCGTAAAAAGGTGACTACTTTTGAGCGCATTAAGTTGCACAGAAAAATGCGTGACGTTATATGTGCTCCGAACTGATCATCTAACCTTTGCTATTCTCGTTTCGCTTATTACAATTCTGTTAGTGTCCTATAAACAACACAGTTTACCACCTAACACGTATTGCAGAGCATCCGGTGTCGTCTACGTTGGCGAAGACATCAAAACGAAGCGACGAGTGGCTATTAAACAGATGAATCTTCGTCAGCAGCCCAAAAAGGAATTGATCTTGAATGAAATACTGGTCATGCGGGCACATCGGAATGGGAACATTGTCAACTACCTCGACAGTTACCTCGTGAGCGTTTTTCCCTGGTTTTCACGTACTGTTTTGTGCCCACTGGTTGAATCTCGGAATCTGGTAACAGGCCGTTTGCCTTATTTTTTTGAAAAAGATTTTCGCACCTTCTCTGTTTAGAATAGTCCTTCTGTGCAAACAGGACCCGGAAAACTTGGGATTTCGGGTAGCATTACTATCAAAAAACCTTTTGGTTTTGTAGACCCGCATACGTCTTTGAATCAGTGCCTCCCTGTAAGATTTGACTAATGGAAATGAATTTAAACTTACCTCTGTGGAAATAATCAATGGCCATCAGTTCTGTCACCGAGACTAATTGAAATATCAAGTCTATGTTTTCCTGGGTCGTGGGTATTGTTGAAGCCACCATCACTTGCTCACATTCTTTGCCGTTCCCTCGTAAATTAACTGACTATCCTCCCTGAGTAGCGGTACAAACTTTTAGAAAGTCAGATATTTGATCCATGAAGTCTTCAGCATAGCGATAAACGTGACTTATCGCGGAATAATACTGCTCAATTTTCACCGAAAATAATCTCTGAAACTGCAACTTTCAGGAAATCTGGTGTTTACTAGTAGTTAGCATGCCTCTCAGATTTTTCTAAGGATAAATTGTCCCCTTTTATATTCATTTTACATTAAGTAACTCTAATTCACGAAGTAAATTTTGTATTTACCTTCCCCCCACTCACTTGCAGCAACACTTGCCGTCATATTTGGTGCGATAGGTAGATACTATGTCATTAGGCGCGTGTTCTAACAATTCCCTTTCTACTTTGAAGGTCCAAAAGTACCGTCAATTGCATTAAAACCCACTAACGCTTTCAATTTGCTGTGTTTAGCTCGGAATGGAACTGTGGGTGGTGATGGAATACCTCGATGGTGGCTCTCTGACCGACGTTGTCACGGAAACATGCATGGAGGAAAAACATATTGCCACGGTCTGTCGCGAGGTAGGTTGCAGTTTTGCAAATGTACCTTCTATACTTCTATACTTCCCTTAACATTCCTAATTGGATATTTTTGTACGAAGTTTTTGTTATCTGATGCTGTCTCTGAAGATGGCTTCCAGCTAGAATCCCAAAAGTCAGGCGAATCAAGTTATTGTCCCAGCGATCACCTGTATGTCTCCTCGACTACTTCTTGAGACTCGCATTCTCGTTTCTTTCGGCACGACGTGTTAATTTTCTGGCGTCTGGATATACAGTGGAGTCTCGAGTGATGAGCAGCCCCATCTACGAACACTTCAAGTAACGGGGGAGTCATTAGCAGACAATTTGTTTCGATTTAAGAGCTTCCGCTCAGTTAT